ATTATACACTCCTGGTAACATATGAATACAGAAAATTAAATGTAAATCAAGATAAAAACACACTAGATAAAAAGAATCCTATTACAATGTAGATATAGCCTCCGGAATATCAGGATCAAATATTAAATTAAGGTTAGATTAAGGTTAGAGAGCAATAATAAAAACATAGACAGGATGGGTTAAGAATGGGCTATGAACTAAGATACAGTGAAACATTAGGTAAAGATACACCTAACCCTAACACCAGCAAGCAGGAATGTGTTGAGTCATCTTAAATTGACTACGTCACGAATTTTCTATGCTTGCTATGGACTATATGTATGAGTCACGAGTGTTTGTTCACATCGAACTATGGAAAGCCATCCCCTTTAAAAATCGTTTTCAAACATTTCAAATACACAATTTTAAATCAATTTAAAACATTTCAAATTAATTAATGAAAATAAAAATAACTTTATATTGCTCGAGAAATTTAAATTCAAAATTTAAAATTAATTTACGGAATAACAAATCAATTTATTAACTTGCAAATTAATTCACAACTTTCCAAAATAATTGCCTGATATACAAATTCCTTCACATCATTGTAAAAATTCATTTTCTAAACGTACAATTTATTTTCAAAACAACAAACCAATTTACTAACTTGCAATTTAATTGAGAACATGTTACATAAACTCACAAATGTTCAAATCTTGCTTCATCGCCCTAATAATTTAAATTGTAAGTTTTAAATTAATTTACAGAATAACGAATCTGTTCACTAAGTTTGAAATTAATTTATTACTTTTAACATTAATCACCAGAAATGCGAATCTAACTGTTGGTTTCAGAATTATTAGGTAACAAACGACAAATGTATAGCTTAAATTACAAATTAATCATACAGCTTTCAAAACATATATAAATGTTTACAATCAAAGAGCTCATTTAACATTCAATTTATGCAACTTCCAATCTATTCAAGACCTCTGAAATCACTTACTAACGTTTACAATTTGCCGCCCACTCTGTTGTTTTCGGTCCGTGTGCAAAACTATTCAGGAAACTTCGAATCAATTCATAGTACTTGCAATCTATTCACTACACTTTCCGAACCAGCCAACTACAAACCAAACTCCAAATCAATTCATTCTAAAAGTGCCCGGACGCTTCAGCTCGGATGGATAAGCTATAGTATTAGAAGATCCGATTTTTACCACCCTGCGGGAAAGATGTGTTTGTTTATAGCTGTACACTACAGTGTAGTCTCAATAAAAAAAGGTAAATGAACACGAAATGTATTTACTACAAGTCTTAATATTTTTCTACTCTATTTCGCCTATAATCACCTGTAAATGCCGGTCAAATGCTCATTTGCAACACACAAGTTAACCGCAGGCCCGCGCTGTGCTGCGTGCACAAACAACATGAATAAGAGAGCATAACAATAAAAGAGCATAAAAGAGCATAAACAACATGAATAACATAACTCTCTTATTCATGTTGTTTGTGCACGCAGCACAGGTAAGGGTGGGCGTGCGGTGTACTTGTGTGTTGCAGATGAGCATTTGACCGGCATTTACAGATTGTAGGCGAATTAGAGTAGAGAAACATTAAGACTTTAATAGTAAATACATTTCGTGTTTATTTACCTTTTTTTATTGAGACGTTCCAAGTGCCTGTGCCGGCGAACGCTTTTGCCAACCAGCAGAGCTATGTTTACACACGTGACCTGGACGTGACGTCACGCTGAACGCTCCTTGGGCAACACTGTCACTACACTGTAGCAGAGCATATAAATCAACTGATTTATCAGACGATATGAATCAGTTGTTTTATATGCTCTGACTGTAGTGTACAGCTGTAAACAAACACATCTTTCCCGCAGGGTGGTAAAAATCGGATCCGCCAATACTATAGCGTATCCATCCGAGCTGAAGCATCCGGGAACTTTTAGAATGAATTGATTCGGAGTTTGGTTTGTAGTTGGCTGGTTCGGAAAGTGTAGTGAATAGATTGGAACTCCTATGAATTGATTCGAAGTTTCCTGAATAGTTTTGCACACGGACCGGAAACAACAGAGTGGGCGGCAAATTGTAAACGTTAGCAAAGTGATTTCAGAGGTCTTGAATAGATTGGAAGTTGCATAAATTGATTGTTAGATGAGCTCTTTGATTGTAAACATTTATATATGTTTTGAAAGCTGTATGATTACTTTGTAATTTAAGCTATACATTTGTCGTTTAATTGTTACCTAATGATTCTGAAACCAACAGTTAGATTCGCATTTCTGGTGATTAATGTTAAAAGTAATAAATTAATTTCAAACTTAGTGAACTGATTCGTTATTCTGTAAATTAATTTAAAACTTTAATTTCAATTGTTAGGGTGATGAAGCAAGATTTGAACATTTGTGAGTTTATGTAACATGTTCTCAATTAAATTGCAAGTTAGTAAATTCGTTTGTTGTTTTGAAAATAAATTGTACGTTTAGAAAATGAGTTTTTACAATGATGTGAAGGAATTTGTATATCAAGCAATTATTTTGGAAAGTTGTGAATTAATTTGCAAGTTAATAAATTGATTTGTTTTTCTGTGAATTTATTTAAAATTTTGAATTTAAATTTCTCGAACAATATAAAGTTATTTTTATTTTTATTAATTGATTTGAAATTGTGTATTTAAAATGTTTGAAAATGATTTTTGAAGGGGATGGCTTTCCATATCGAACGGAATAGGAAGTATAATGCAGCAATTTAACCATAAAAGGTGAACCGAACCACTTACATCTCGTGAAAAAGTGGACATAACATTTTTTTAGTTTTACTATTTACTGTGACGTAACCACTTTACATGCCAACGCGTGTAATCCTGATGTCTGTTTGTTGTAGTTCCGGTTCGCCGACAGATGGGATTACATGTTGATGATGATGGGAGCAGCTGCTGCCATCTCGCACGGCATTCTGCTGCCTTACATGATACTCTGGTTCGGTGACATGACCAACACGTTCATCGCCAACGCCGTGAAGAGAAACCTCAGGGAGAAGCTAGAGGAACTGGAGAGGTTAGCAGATGAGTCGTGATCAATAGATCCATCAAGGATAAGCAAATTAGCCACCTGCCCGATTCCGCAAATCATATTCCTAGGTCTTCGATCGAAATTCACTGAGACAGGACGCTGTTTTTATGCGCTCACGCCAAAATGTCGACTTCGTGACATATTGTTTCAACGAGTTGTTTTTAGAACCTCATATAGCAACAATGATTGGCTAGAGCTGTCTCCCAATCACGCCAGGCGGATAGGCCACTTGGCTTACAGTCAGCATCTTGATCCGCGCGTATGAATGACAGTAGATGATACATTTGGCTTCTGTGAGCTAGTTTATTACAGCTTTCTGCTCTTTCCTTCATATCATTCGCATGTATCGGTTGATTTACTCTTTATATTTTCTGTTCGATAGCTATTCTGATCGATTGTATTCACTTTGCGATTAAGTGCCTAATAGACAATCAACGCTCTGTATGATCGCCATTTTTCTTACGTGTTCACTTAATTGTTACTCGAACGAACGACATACGGCATATACCGCTTTACTGAACGCCGTTCGATTATTTCTGATGCTTCTCCTCCCACTAGGCCTTGTCTGAACTGGACTGACGTCACATTCGGTCCCAACAACACGATGACGACGCGCGAGCCAATCACATTCACGTTGCCAACGTTACCGACGCTGCGTCCGAGCGTCACTGTCACCAGACGAACCCGCGCTACGACCTCGCTTCCCGCCTCCAGGATCAGCGTCGCGACGGCAGTCGGGTTTACATCAGTACGAGGCAGGGGAGAGCATCAGGGAGGCTTAACAAATACTGGTGGCCTCGGCCGAGTGTGGGTTTCAAGTGGGGAGGGCTTCATCGTAGGAGCTACTGGTATCGTCCCGGGAGAAATATACAGTGACCCGGAAGCGAAGAACACTGACCCGGATGAGATGCACAACGATGCGGAATATACCGCAAATGTCCCTGGAGATACAAGAAAAGGCGCAGATCGAATAAACTTAAACATACCTCCAGATTTCAAGTGAGTTCAGCTTTCACTAGCAACCCAAACTAGAAATACCTTGTCTGCATCAGTGATTATTTAATTTGAAAACACAGACCTTAAAACAAATCTTACCTCTATCATATATCCATAAAATCATAACCATGACTGTAACAATTGCTGTAGCCATAACTATGATTATAACCACGACCACAACCACTACTACAAGCACTACAGAAACCACAACCACTACTACAAGCACTACAGAAACCACAACCACAGCCATAACCGTAGATACAAACACCACAACAACCACAACCGCAACCACAACAACCACGACAAAACACTTGGCACTGACACTTGGCACTGACACTTGGTCTCATCGTAAGTCAACCTCTAACCTAGATATTCGCCCTGCCGCTGGAAAGGCTGGAAGAGTGGCAGCAATTCGAGATGAGCTCGCTCTCTATTATGACAACAGATAGATGTCGAAACTACACTAACGTCTAAATCTGCACGTAACTACACACGAGAGAGAGAGAGAGAGGCCTTGGCGGAGGTCCTGGCGCTCTCCGAGCTCGTAGTTCTTAATTAACGTTTTACGCCAAAGTCTAGCGCTGACACTAAACGTGCTGCGGTGCATCGGCGCGTTATATTATCATTTCCATCTAAATTGTCAGCCCATCGCATCTCTGCAGCCTGCTAATAGCTGCAATCCATAGAGAATCCTACCTCACTCCCGCGATACCTCTAGAGCCAAGAGGCTAAACACCTTAACATATACTAAACGGCTAGCCCACGCTTACGCATCTACTAACGCTACCCACATTTACTACAACTAACCTCTAGCACTTTTAACCATTACTGCTAAACATCGCTAATTATGTCTACTGATGCTACACTTGTCATTGGCCGTGGTCTGATCTAGCAGTATCTGTTCATACCGTTGTCATGAATCAACGACCCGCTTCGGCTAGAAATGGTGAGAAGCCCAAGCACGACTAGACTGAGCAAGCCATCGCCCTCCGAAAAGGCAATGAATGAAGCGAGTCACAAGGCGCTGCGTCCACTGCAGAAAATGGCGATGTCGATCGCCTATCCGCAGACTGCACGCCTTGACAAGGTCGTACATGTAGGACACGTAATAGGTCGGTACGATCTGTCATGGCGGCCGAACACACGGTCGAAGCATACATATTACTGCAAAATACAAGAGCCACAGAGCGGGTCTGGGGCTCATGCTGGGTGCTAGTGAGTGCTAAGAAGTGCTAAGAGCTAAGAGTGCTAATATCTAAGTAATTAAGTAACTTAACTAACAGCAACTTAAGGCTGCTAAGTGCTAAGAGTCTAGTGACTATTCGCAAACTATTCATAATGTCAGCACTAATACAGAGTGCTCATATATAACTCATCTCTATCTCCCTAAGTAAGCATTGTTCAAGTAAAAGTTATGTTGGACATTTCAACTGTAAAACTGGAGCGTTTCCTACAACCACAGGTACTCCAAACGCAGTTTTGAAACAAATGCATGTTTAACAACCGCTCTACAGCCGCAATAGAGAGCTGCTACCTGTAACTAATTAATCCGCAGCAAAACTACACGCAACTATCACCACCAACATGCACTGGCGGTGGCGCTGCAGTGCTATTAACAAACTTGACAGTTAACAGAATGCGCATACAAAATTATACGATTTAAGGAGCATAAACACTTCATCAAGCAATTTAGCATTTGAAATTTCATATGTGACATTGTAAGTCCTCATAACATCCAGCAATGTATACGATTTCTACTAGCAGACATCCAGGGCAGTGAAAGATTTTTCTACACAGTAACAGTTATACAATCATGTTAAATCGTCCTCTGAAGGGTTCAAAAAGTTATCAGACACTTACTCTTCGGCCAGTGCCGTGCTTCTGTGGTCAGAAAGCAGCATTTCATGTCAGTTTCAATAAAGCCATAAAAGAGGGGGGAAACGGGGGTACATTCCGCCCATTTGCCAGCGAACAAAAACACCGGCCATATCCCAGTTCCGCATTGAAAATAAAAGTCCCATTCAGCCAGTTCCCCAGGACATATATGTAGAATGTCAGGAATATTCAGTATTTAGGTTTTCAAAGCACTACATAAATACTATATTTACAGTAGTAAATTATTTATCCTGGCATAATTAATAATAAAAAAATTTAAAAAAAAATATTAAAAAATAATTACGGGAAATTGATAATCCCGCGACATTGACGACACATTTCCGCCAATCCCCAGACAAATTTTAGACGGTGTTTCTCCCGACGTCCCGATGGACTTCATATTCCCGGAATCACGAAAATTTATCTGACCATTTCCGCAGTTCCCAAGGTAATTGTAAATGGCCAATCCTCGTACCCGAAAAACCTCTGTCCGCCCCTCATAAAAATGGTAGGTCACCGCTGAAACAAAAACAAGTTTTTCATGCTGGTCCGTCAGTACCATGTCGCTCAAAAACATGTCTAAAATCTGCCCCTGTGCCCTATTGACCTTAGACCTGTGACTCATCCATTTCGGCACAGTGATGGTTTTCCTACATGATGCTATACATCGCGACTCTATACACACAGCCTAGGTCGAGCCGTTTAGATTTGTTGCCTGCAATTCTGGCATTTTCCTTTCCTATACCTAAGTTAAGGAGTGAATGTTCCCCTTTATTTTACACCTGCTTGACCTTGACGCTTTGACCCTAGCTTCGAACATCCCAACTCGTTTTTCGGATATACCCCCGACAGTCCCGAATATCGTGACCGTACGTCGAGCGGTTAAGATTTGTGCCCCAACTGTTGACAGGAACACGCACGGAACGGACGGACGACGGACGATCATGCCCGATTCCACAACGCTGAATCTGACTAATGTCCAGATGAGCTAAAAACCGAGAGTTGGCGAAATAGTAATTTAGTTCTGAATTTTTTTGAAAATACATATTTTATGCTAGCACATATTTGTGTGATAAATGTCATGTATCGTAAAGTCGCGTACGTGTGCGGCTCACACACGCACACAGGTTCTCGCACTCGAGCGCAAGACGCGTATCTGAAATAACGCATATCGTTAGCACACTACGAACAGTTTCATGAGTGGCAAAACAACATAGTTTTGTAACGCACGTGTTGTGTTAATTTCAGCATATCGTGGAATCGCGTTAGTTTGCGAGCGACTGCGTGCATAGCTGGGTTTCTAGTTTTTCTGGTTTCGTAGTGAAACTCTTGCGCAGTGTACGAGGAGCGAGGTGGTGACTTACTCGGAACATGACGAGTGTTAGCTGGCGACTCTCATGCATGTCAAACGTCTACGAGACTCCTGACGCATGATCGCGCCAAGAATGCCAACGCGCCCATGCGCTGTGTCTCGCCAGTCGCCGGCAGCCATACCACGTAGAGATCTTAAAAATGACGGACATAATCAATGTCATCACTACTGCATTGTTATTATTACATATACTTCATTATAGTACAACTATAGTCTGGCACATATAATATTATAATATAACGTCATATCATAAATGATGATTAATAAAAATGGTAGTGTTAATAATAATGTGAATAAAACAATAAAATGAAAGCAGTAATAATAATACCTAGCATAAACTATTGATCGAAATAGTAAATGTAGTACTAGATCAATCACCAGACTAAACCAGTATGCGTATACCTATGATTGATCCACGCAATGACAGCAACGACCGTTAACTTCTACAATAAAGATTAAATTCTGCAAGCGACTAACCGGAGGGCGGTTTTATTAGATATGTGACGTAATTTACCTGTAGATACCCTAGCGCCGTACTGCCACATTCCAAGTGCAGGCCAAAGTACTTGTGAGTTAACGCTTTCATGCTTTCTTTTAGCGACATAGAGGACGCCATTTCGGCAACTTGTCAAGCGGATCAAGGTTAAATTTTCCTCAAATCGCCCCAATTCGCAGGTAGTGCTCAATCAACAGCTAGCCCATGAGACGCCCTCTGGCAGAAGGTCCGCCAGTTGTAAGTATTACACCAAACATATAACAGACAAGAAGCGTGTCAGTAGCGGTACGTTGTTAAAGGTTTATGAATATCTTCATGTGTTGTTTGAATATATACGTATGTCCACTGCACCTCTAACTTGGCGCTAGTATTCTTCGACTATGCATATCTATGTAATGTATGTATGTATGTATGTATGTATGTATGTATGTAATGTGTGTGTGTGTGTTGTGTTGTGTGTGTTGTGTGTGTGTGTGTGTGTATGTTGTATGTATGTATGTATTATGTATGTATGTATGTATGTATGCTATGTGTGTATGTGTGTATGTGTGTATGTGTGTATGTGTGTATGTGTGTATGTGTGATTGTGTATGTGTGTATGTGTGTATGTGTGTATGTTTATGTGTGTATGATGTGTATGTGTGTATGTGTTATATGTGTGTATAGATGTATGTATGTGTATATGTTGATGTATGTAATGTCATATGTATGTGATGTAATGTGTATGTATGTGTGTATGTGTGTATGTTTATGTGTGTATTGTGTACGTGTAATTGTGTATGGTGTGTATGTGTGTTGCTGGTATGTGTGTATGTGTGTATGTTGTATGTGTGTTGTGTGCTATGTTGGTAGTTAATGTGTGTATGTGTGTAAGTGTTATGTATGTGTGTATGTAATGTATGTATGTATGTATGTATGTATGTATGTATGTATGTATGTAATGTATGTATGCTATGTATGTAGTGTATTATGTGTGTATGTGTGTAATGTGTGTATGTGTTGTGTGTGTATGTGTGTATGTGTGTATGTGTGTATGTGTGATGAGTGTATGTATGTATGTACTGTGTGTATGTGTGTATGTGTGTATTGTGGTATGTGTGTATATGTGTGTATGTGTGTATTGTGGTATGTGTGTAAGTGTGTATTGTGTATGTATGTATGTATGTATTGTTAATGATGTTGTATGTACTGTATGTATGTATGTATATCTAAGTATGTATGTATGATGTATGTATGTTATGTATGATGTATGTATGTAATGTATGTATGTGTGATGTGTGTATGTGTTATGTGTGTATGTGTGTATGTGTGTATGTGTGTATGTGTGTATGTGTTGATGTGTGTATAGTATGTATGTATGTTAATGTATGTATGTACTGTATTATGTATTGGTTCATGTATGTATGTATGTAATGAGTGTACTTAATGTGTATGTATGTATGTATGTAATGTATTGTATGTATGTAATGTATGTGTATGTAATTACTGTATGTACTGTATGTTATGGTTATGTATGTATGTATGTATGTAATGTATGTATCCTGTATGTATTGTATGTTTATGATGTATGTGAGTGATGTATGTTGTAATGTGTGTATGTGTGTATGTGTGTATGTATGGTATGTATGTAGTGTATGTATGCTATGTTAGTATGTAGTATGTATGTATGTATTGTTATTGTGTAACTGTGTGTAGTTGTATGTTGTGTATGATGTGTGTGTGTGTGGTGTGTGTGTGTGTGTTGGATGTGTGTACTGTGTGTATGTGTTATGTGTGTATGTGTGTATGTGTGTATGTGTGTATGTGTGTATGTGTGTATGTGTGTATTGTAGTGTTGATGTGTGTATGTGTTACTGTGTGTCTGTGTGTATGTGTGTATGTGTGTTGTGTGTGTGTGTGTGTGGTGGTGTGTGTGTGTGTGTATGTGTGTATGTGTGTATGTGTGTATTGTTATGTATGTGTGTATGTATTAGTATAGTCATCGTATGTCATGTATGTATGTATGTATTATGTATGTATTTGTATGTATGTATGTATGTATGTATATAGTATGTCAGTAGTATGTATGTATGTATGTTATGTATGTAGTGTATGCTATGTATGTATGTATGTATGTATGTATGTATGTACTAGTAGTAGTATGTATGTATGGTATGTATGTATATGTATAGTTAGTATGTATGTATGTTATTATGTATGTATGTAATGTATGTATGTATGTATGTTGATGTATGTATGTAAATGTATCTGTATGTATGTATGTATGCTATGTATGTAGTATGCTTATGTATTGTATTAGTATGTATAGTATGTTTCATGTATGTATGTCTGTATGTAGTGTTGTTAATGTATG